TCAAATGCAACGATGATCTTACCTGTCCGAGTCCCCGGGAACGTGCCCACGGATCACAATCAAAGTTCCAGGCTCCAACTGCTCAGGGATGGTCCCAACATAGGGGATTATCTGGGGAAAAGAATTTGAACAAATATGCTTTTACAAGAAGCGGAAAGACTACATTGTTAAGCACCACGTTTTTATCACATATAAACCCAGCATTTCCCAAGTGGCCCGCACTGTTTTCAAACAGCTACACAGTCACTGCAGCCCTGGGTTTGCTCTCAATCCTGCCAAAGGCAGAAGGTGACTGCAGAGGACTCGGTTACCGGGTTGTAGATGACATTCTGTAGGTTGTTCAAGGACAGCATCTTCCCCTTCCACTTCAGCGTTGATTGCGGTCTCTCTTCTGTGTGCGAGCTCAGATTTTAAGCAAGTTTCATTTAAAGGTTTCCTCGAATGAAACAGAGGCAGTTGCCCTGTGCAAAATCAAAACAGAGGGGGGAAAATGCATCACTTTTCTTTATATCATAATTATTCTTAAAGGTAAGTTAGAAATAATTTCACTGATATTTGCCAAATAACAGGGTGCTATTGCAGTCAAAGATCTGACCCCAATTCTCACCGAGTGTATTTATATTGGCAGCAAAATCTCAGACATACAGGTCTGAGGTGATACCTCATTGTCATTTTCATTTGCACCTCTCTGATGATCAGTGACTTTGAGCATTTTTTTCATATGTCTCTTGGCCATCTGTGTGTTCACTTTGGAGAAGTGTCTATTTAGGTCCTTTGGCCATTTTTTAATGGCATTGTCTTCCTTTTGTCAAGTTGTATGAGTTCCCTGTATATTTTGGATATTAACCCTTTATCAGATGTATCATTGCCAAATATGTTCTCCCATACAGTGGGCTCCCTTTTTGTTTTGTAGATGGTTTCTTTTGCTGTGCAGAAGCTTTCTATTTTGATGTAGTCCCATTTGTTTATTTTAACCTTAGTTTCCTTTGCCCTAGGACAGTGATGGCGAACCTTTTGAGCTCGGCGTGTCAGCATTCTTAAAAACCCTAACTTAACTCTGGTGCCATGTCACATATAGAAATTTTTTGATATTTGCAACCAAAGTAAAACAAAGACTTATATTTTTATATTTATTTTATTTATTTAAATGCCATTTAACAAAGAAAAATCAACCAAAAAAATGAGTTCGCGTGTCACCTCTGACACACGTGTCATAGGTTCGCCATCACTGCCCTAGGAGATGTATCCGTAAACATATTGCAACGAGAGATATCTGAGATTTTGCTGCCTATGGTTTCTTCTAGGATTTTTATGGTTTCATGACTTACATTAAGTTTTTTAACCATTTTGAGTTTATTCTTGTGTATGGGGTAAGTTGGTGGTCTAGTTTCATTTTTTTTGCATGTGTCTGTCCAGTTTTCCCAACACCATTTATTGAAGAGACTGTCTTGACGCCATTGTATGCTCTTGCCTCCTTTGTCAAATATTGAGCGTAATGGTTTGGGTCGATTTCTGGGGTCTCTGTTCTGTTCCATTGATCTATAGGCCTGTTCTTGTGCCAGTACCAGGCTGTCTTGATTACAGTGGCTTTGTAGCGTAACTTGAGATCTGGTATTGTGATTCCTCCAACTTTCTTCTTCTTTCTCAGGATTGCTGCGGCCGTTCGGGGTTCTTTTTTTGTTCCATATAAATTTTTGGAGGATTTGTTCTAGATCTGTGAAATATGCTATTGGTATTTTCATGGGGATTGTACTGAATCTGCAGATCGGTTTGGGAGTATGGGCATTTTAATTATGTGAATTCTACCAATCCATGAACACGGTATATTCTTCCACTAGTGTTTATCTTCCTCTATCTTTTTTTTCAGCATCCTGTAGTTTTCCGAGTACAGGTCTTTTACCACCTTGGTTAAGTTTATTCCTAAGTTCCTTAATTTTGTTGTTGTTGTTACAATAGTAAATGGGATTGTTTAGTTTCCTCTTCCTTTTTTTTTTTTAAAGATATATTTTATTGATTTTTTACAGAGAGGAAGGGAGAGGGATAGAGAGTTAGAAACATTGATGAGGGAGAAACATCGATCTGCTGCCTCCTGCACACTCCCTACTGGGTATGTGCCCGCAACCAAGGCACATGCCCTTGACCGGAATCGAACCTAGGACCCTTCAGTCCGAAGGCTGACGCTCTATCCACTGAGCCAAACCAGTTAGGTGGTTAAGTTTATTCCTAAGTTCCTTAATTTTGTTGTTGTTGTTGTTGCAATAGTAAATGGGATTGTTTAGTTTCTCTTTCTGAGAATTCATTATTAGTTTATAAAAAAAAAAAAAAGCCACCGCTTTTTGGGTGTTGATTCTGTAACCTGCTACGCTGCCAAACTCAATGGAGTCTAGTATTTTCTGGTGGAGGCTTTGGGGCTTTCTAGGAACGATACCCTGTCACCTGCGAATAACAGTTTCCCTTCCTCCTTTCCCGGGTGGATGCCCTTCGCCTCTTCCTGTCTGATCGCTGCGGCCAGGGCTTCCAGCGAGTGGTGAGAGCGGGGATGTCACC